TACCGGATCTTTAAGGGGTGGGAACAGCAGGGACCCCCTCTCTGATCCCGGATCTTTTTGGGGTGGGAACAGCGGGGACCCCCCAGCCCCGGTACCGGATCTTTTTGGGGTGGGAGCAGCAGGGACCCCCCCTCTGACCCCAGATCTTTTTGGGGTGCAAACAGCAGGGACCCCCCCTCTGATCCCGGATCTTTTTGGGGTGGGAAGAGCAGGGACCCCCCAGCCCTGGTACCGGTTGTTTTTGGGGTGGGAGCAGCAGGGACCCCCCAGCCCCGGTACCAGTTGTTTTTGGGGTGGGAAGAGCAGGGACCCCCCAGCCCCGGTACCGGTTGTTTTTGGGGTGCAAACAGCAGGGACCCCCTCTCTGATCCCGGATCTTTTTGGGGTGGGAACAGCAGGGAGCCCTGCTCTGATCCCGGATCTTTTTGGGGTGGGAGCAGCAGGGACCCCCTCTCTGATCCCGGATCTTTTTGGGTGGGAGCAGCAGGGACCCCCTCTCTGATCCTGGATCTTTTTGGGGTGCGAACAGCAGGGACCCCCTCTCTGATCCTGGATCTTTTTGGGGTGGGAGCAGCAGGGAGCCCTGCTCTGATCCTGGATCTTTTAACGGCAGGGGAAGCAGGGACCCCCCTCTGATCCCGGCTTTTCGGGGACAGGCTCGCCCTTTTTGGCGAGCACATTTGGGGGGCTTCAGGGCTGTGGGAACCCACCTCAGCCACCCCCATCCCCTCCCAGGAGTGACATTTATTGATCCCCGGATCCCCCCAGGATGGGGCGATCACCCCCAAACTCACCCATTTTTACCCCAAGACTGAGCCCCCCGACACGGGAAGGGTTTTGGGGTGCAGGAGGAGGCCCCCAAAGCAGGGATAAAGCAACCAGAATTCTGTTTATTGATCACTTCAATCCCTGCCTCCTGCCGGATCCACAGGGACCGGCACCGGAGGAGAAACAATGGTAAAAAAAAAAAAAAAAAAAAAAAAAAAAAATTCCAACAAAATAAATGTAAATAAATTAAATTCCCAACGAGTACCACGGACCCAGGCCAGAGGCGCCTGCCCACGGTACTCGGAAAATCAAAAAGGGGGGAGTAAAAATGAGAAAAGATCAAGGAAAAAAAAATAAAATAAAAGTATATTAAAAAAAAAATAAGAATAAAAAAAATACAGAACCACAATCACGAGTGTCTGGAAAAGTAACACCGAGGGCGGAGAAAGCAGAGCCAAACACGGATTGGGAGGAGGTGGGAGATGCCCGGGGGGATCTGGCGGCTCCCGGGGCCAGGGAACGGGGCATGCACGAAGCGAGGGGGGACAGGAGGGTCCCCAAGGCCAAGGACCCCTCACTCCAGGGTCGGTGACACCACCAGCAGCCCGCTTGGGGACGCCGAGCCAGGTGGAAATTCCAGAGGGGGGGACGAGGAGACGGAGCTGTCCTGGGTGGGGGCACCGGGTGTGAGGCAGGATTTGGGGGGGGGACCCCCGAAAGGGTCTGGCAGTGCGTGGAGCCCCCGCTCCCCCTCTCTCCTTGAAACAGAGAAGGAGCCGAGACGGCTTTCAAACAACTCCAGTCAAGCGGAGAACCCTAAAACCCGACTCCAGGCCATCCCCGCGGCTACCAGACCCGTTCTTATCAGATCTCCTCCACGCCGTGAGCGAAAATCATGACGAGCCCCGGCTCCAGCACCATGTCCTCGCCCATGTGCTGGTTCTCGCAGGCCATCACCACCACGGCCTGCTTGCCGGGGATGCGCTTGGCCACGTAGTTCTCGTAGTAGCGCCGGTTCATCTGGCGCGTCTCCAGCGTGGCCAGCCCCTGCGGCCAGTTGCGCTCGTGGGCGTTCTCGATCAGCTCGTTGGTGATGGACGCCGGGCAGCCGCTCTCCACCAGCGAGCGCTTGATGACCGCCTGCAGCACCGCGTCCGGCGTGGAGAT